ATAGGTTATACACATGGCGGAAACTGGATCCTGGCAGCGAGGAGGCCCAGATGCTGGTTCGAGAGTACTTCTCCTGGGAGGGGCCTTCCAGCATGCGGGCAAAGCCTTCAATCAGGGCAAGATCTTCAAGTGAACATCTCTTGCCATTGCCTCGCTGCCTGCACCTGCCCTTCAGGGAGATGGGGGTCATTAAAGGAAATTGAACATTGAAAAACAAAACAAAATGAAAAAACTAACTTCCCGGTCAGTAAGACCTCAAAAGGTTAAATTAAATACTAGCAACTTACATACCTTAAGGGATTATCAAAAATTACTGGGTGATATTAACTGGCCAGAAATTCTAACTCCAAGTGTATTTTAAATTTATCATCTACACTTGCATTGTACTTTTATTAAATTATCAAAGTACTTCCCCATTTCACAAACTTTTAGTGGCTCTCAGTCACTACATTATGAAATTAAATGTTCTTAGTTTACCATTTTCCATTCTCTACAATCCAGTCTTGGTTTTCCTTCAACTTTATTTTCCATTTGTAAGACAACGTCTTAATTCTCTTTCTGTGTTTAGGAGATTGCCTTCCCCATGAAGCAGAAATCCCCTCTCCCTATGGAAATTAAAAGTTCATATGCTCATTTTCCTGGCCTTTCTATCAATTACTGCTGTGCTATCAGATATGGTAGCCACTGGCAACATGTGGCTACTGCGCACTTGACATATAGCTACTGCCACATGTTGAAATATTTTAGATATATTGGGTTAAATAAAATATATTATTCAAATTAATTTCACTTGGTTTTTGTTTTGCTTTGTTTTAGAGTCAGGGTCTCCCCCAGTCACTCAGGCTGGAGTGCAGTGTCACAATCATAGTTTACTGCAGCCTGGAACTCCTGGGCTCAAGTGATCCTCCTGCCTCAGCCTACTGAGTAACTAGGACTATAGGCATGCACCACCATGCCCAAGTAATTTTTTTTTTTTTTTTTTTTTTTTTTTTTTTTGGTAGACACAATGTCTTACTATGTTACTCAGGCTGTTCTCAAATTCCTGGTCAAAAGCGATCTTCCCATCTTGGCTTCCCAAGGTGCTAGGATTAGAGGCTGGTGTTTTGTTTTGTTTTTCTAACCTTTTTATGTTGCTACTAGAAAAATTTAAATTATGCATATGGCTTGCATTATATTCCTCTTAGACAGCATGTAGCTAGAGTGTTAATGTTTAACTAGGTTATATCCATTATTTGCCCCTGTTCTAGGCTTGAGGTTGAAAGCTAATATTGTGAATGTGAAGTGACCCTCCATTCTTTTGAGAGTAGTGGCAGTGATAATAACTGTATCTAGTTTCCATGGGCAGCAAGAGCATCATCCAGTCTGGGTCAAGTGATATCGGCAGTCTCAGTTTTGGTATTTGCATCCAGCAGTGGCTACATTGATGGTTTCTTGAGACCAGTTTTGGGCATAATGTTGTGTCCTATTCCTGAAGATCCTGTAGGTGTTCAGTATCCTTCTAATAAATTCCTTTTCTGCTAAGGCCCTTCATGAAGTCTACCTCTCTACCCCAGTCCACAGGATCCTTCCCTTTTTCAACATCAATAGTGAGTAAGATCCAAACCACGCACTTGGCACTTGGCCCACACGAGTTATCTTATCGTAGGGAAGTGTCTTGTTTTCTCAGCCAGACTGTAAAATTTTGTGTGGCAGGAACCCTGTCTTTAACATCATTGTTTCTTAGTATCTGTCAGACCTTGGTCACAGCATCACTGGAAAAATACTTGTTAGTTATCACTGCAGATCTTTGAAGTCGGCAGGGCGGCTATCATTATCCCTGTTTGTACAGATGAGGAAACTGTTGCTCAGTGACTGGCTTGAGGTTGTGCAGCTGGCTTGCTGCCAAATTGGGGCATAGCTCGGGCCTTCTCATTGCTTGCCTATGTCTCTTTCTTCTGTCTCAGGCCCTGCCAGATAAAATAGTGTATTAATTTCATAGAGCTGTTGTGACAGAGAACCATAGATTGGGTGGCTTAAAACAATAGACATTTATTGATTGACAGTTCTGAAAGTTATAAATCCAAAGTCAAGGTGTCCACAAGGGCATGTACTCTCTGAAACCTGTAGGAAAATCCATGCATGCTTCTTCCTAGCTTCTGACGGTTTGCTGGCAGTCTTTGGCATTCCTTGGCTTATAGCTGCATAACTCCAATTTACCTTTGTCCTCACGCGGCATCCTCATTTTCTCTCTCTGTCTTCACACTGTCATCTTCTTAAAGGGACAATAGTTATGGTGGGTTATCCTACCCTATAGAAGTATGACCTCATTTTATCTTAATTAAATCTGCAATAACTCTATTTCAAAATAAGGGTACCTTCTTTGGAACTGAAAGTTAGAACTTCAACATACCTTTTTTTGGAGTAGCACAATTCAGTCTCTAACAGATGGTAACCAAAAGAGAAGCAAATACCATAGAAACTGAAGACTTTGTCTTGTTTCTAGGATTTATTCCAAGGATTACATTATAGTGAGGTAGAAGGTGGGGAAGTGTTTTCAAGTATATATTCCTATCTACTACTTGATTTGCACATGGACTGATAGGGTTTAGTTGATAAGCATATGTATGAGTTCAGTGAATTTCTTCTCTCATATAAGGACTAAATAGCCCCCACAAATAAGATGCCAGCCCCATCCTTTCTAGCAGGTCTCCCCAGCCATCCTAAGACAGCTTTCCCATTTAAAGGGGAAATTATGGTATATAATTCTGATAAGTGAATGGAAAAAGTGGTTGTTGCAGTGAGCCTATAACTCTTTGCCAGAGGGGTCTTTGGAGTCGAAGGTATCAGCTGGGACCTAGATGGAAGAGCTGGTCCCCTCTAGGCACAGTGAGAAGGCTAACCAATGGATGCAGCTAGCATTTGGAATATGTTTCCATTTTGCTGGTATTTCTTCTTTTCCTTTAATGAAAAGGTACATAAGTTATTAATAAAAATAAATACAGAATTTTAAAAACATTAAAAGGAAAATGGTAAAATGAGCTCTGCTCTAGTTCGAAAGAAGAGAACGACAGTAGTTTCTAGTCAGGCCCTTTGCGAGGTCCTATACAGGGATGGCAATTTGACTGGGACTCTTAAGTGGTGATAACTGAAATCTCTAATGAAAGCCTGCTAATGACACAGAACCAAATCACTGAATATGCCTGTCTCAAAATCCAATTTCTCTAGATGGGAAGGGTATAGGCTTTATGGTCAGCACTATCCCTTAACGTGAGAGCTTGGGCAAGGGACTTAAAATCTCTCTGAATTTGACCATGTATATAAGTGAGGATCATTATCTAGCAGGGCTGTAGTGAGGATTTTATGTTAACATAGTTCACAGCACATATAACAGAGCTTCCATTAACTTGAAACCTTCCTTCTCCCCATACTACAAATATATGTAATACAATCCCTGCCCACTGCCCCACAATCACCCACCCTTCTCCATCCCATTCTCTCTCTCTCTCCAAGGTTCCTATTTATAATATAGTTGAGGAGACATATAAATAAGAAGTGACTTGCATTTAATTTTAAAAACCAACAGATGAAACCAATATAGTGCACCACTAACTACTTAGATGCTGACAAACTTCCACACTCATTAAATCAACAGACACTGAGTGGCAGACCACCCATGCCAGGCATCGTGCTAAGCACCGTGTATCCATTGGTGAACGAAACGTCTTCTCTCTCTTATGGAGTCCACTGTTTAGCGTGGAGGCAGTGAAGAAACAATTTAAAAAGCATAGAATACCACGGAAGAAATGGTAAGGTGCAATGATTGAGAATAATGAGGAAAGCATGGGGAAATTTATTATACTTAGGAAGGATGGACTTTCTGAGGTGACAATTAAAATGAAACTTGAAAGATAACAAGTTAGACTAAAGCATAAGAGAAAGGATCTTCCAGGTAGTCAAAGGGGCATATACAAAGCAGCAAGGCAGTCAGGAGCTGGCAGTGTTTGAAAAGGAGTATGGGAGACAGTGTCCACGACATACAAGGGCCATTTTGAACAGAATCCAACTTCTCACCATGACCTGGAGGCTCCACCTGATTTGGCCTCTGCTTCCCCCCACCTCTTCTCTTCCCCACTGTCCATGCCACCTATTCTTTCTGCCCCTCTTTCATGTCAGACTTGCTACCACCTCAGGCTCTGTTCAGTTGTTCCCTCTCTCTGAAAGCTTTTGCCCCAGACCTGCTGATGGCTCCTGGACCCCCGGGGTCAGTCAGGCTTCAGATTAAATGTCACCTCTGGAGAAAGATCACTAATCACCACCCCTCATTGTCCATCATCTTTCCGTGTGGTTTGCTCTCTTCCTATCCCTTATCGCCGTCAAACATTCTTTTGTTTACTTTTATTGTCTAGTCTTTCACACTAGAATGTAAGTTCCATGAGTTTGTATTTCTTATTGCTGTAAATCTAGAGCCTGAAACAATATCTAGTATACATCGGAAACCCAAATGATACTGTTTGCTTAATTAACGTTGAATGAAATGAAACTGAATAGGTAATGCAAGATAGAGAACGTATCAAACTATGAGACAAACATGAAGAATGTGTTTTGAATGAAAACTGCAGGGTGACAGTGAGAGATGGTGGGGTAATAGAGGTCGTAGCTACAAAATAACTTGTTCATCTCCGTTTCTCCGCTATTTTATGAGTCCCTGTGGGACTGGGACGGAGTTTTATTCATTTTTCTATAATCAGCGTCTAGGACGGGAGTAGCACATAGCGAGCACGCGATGGATGTTTGCAGAATAACGGACGAATGTGTGCAGAAGATCTATTAACTAGGCTGCAGCACAACTCAGAGACAGCGAGCAGAGAGTGCGATTGAGACTCGGCCGCCCGGGCCGCAATGGCTCACGGGACAGGTCCGCGGGGCACGGCCCCTCCAGCGGAGCGCAGCAGCCAGTGCGCCTGCGCCTAAGAGGCTCTAGCCTCCGGCTGCGGGACGCCGGCACCAGCACTCACGCAGGCGCACTGTATTCTTCCCGCCTCCCACAAGATGGCGGAGGGCAAGTAGCAAAGGGGCGGGGTGTGGCCGCCGGAAGCCCGGCCGCTGCTGGTGGGGACCTGCGGGCTAAGGCCCGTGAGCAGCGGACCGAGGTTGGTGCGATGTTGTTCCCGGGAAGCGTGGTTGGCTGTTGGTAAGGAAGGTGAGGCACGCAGTTGCCTTCGTGGGCCCTCGGCGCCCCCTATGTACGCCTCCCTGGGCTTGGGTCCGGTCGCTGCTTTGCCCGCTTCTGTACCACCGTCAACTCTCGGGTCCTGGAGCACCGGCGGCGGCGGGAGCTGTGTCTGGCAGGAGGGGAAGAGCACAGGCGGCGCTCGTACTTCTGGCCACTGGGCGAGCGTCTGGCAGGTGAGTGAGGCTGCAAGCATTGAAGTCTCTCCCGGCAAAGCTTCCTCGGCTTTGCCCCGCCGCTGCTCGGGACCTTACGGTGCTCGGCCCGACTCTGGCTTTCTTGTCTTCACGTCTCACCCTTTCCCCTCCCCGCACTCCCGGTTCAGGCCTCCCGTTGGCCCCTGGCTTTGCAGGTCCTCCATTCTCACACAGTGAGTGGGGGGTCGCGACGCCCTCCGTCCTCCACCTTTCCTGGCTGCTGGAGCTTCGCCCTTGAAAGCGGTGCCCCATTCGCGTTAGGTGGGTGGGTCGTCCGCCCCTCCCATTTTAGTCGTTTCCCCATCTTCCTCGTTTCGATCCTCTTGCTTCCTCTAAAAGTTGTAAACTCTCTGCCTGGGAAAATTACCCGATAGCCCGGCATGTGGAGTTACAAAGAAAGGGCTGTTACCTAGAGGCCAGTGAATTTTGTCCACTTTGATGAGAGAATCAAGACCCCAGGAGCCTGGGATGGTTTAGGTCAGAGTCTGACTCTTTGACCCACCGAGTAGAGGAATGGTGCTTGTGTTGGCAAATGATTGTTCATCGAAATCATTGATTTTTTTCGGCTGTAGGAAATCTTTGGTCTCCGAACCTTTGAAGTGGGGGCGTGAGCTTTCTAGGTCTAGTGAAAGAATTGGGAAGTGTTATGTTCGTTTTAAAAAAGACCTTATACAGTACGTGTAAGGTATCACATAATAGTACAAGCAAGGATAGATGATTTATTCTTTTATTCGTTGTTAGCTTAAATTGCCCACTTGACCACTGACGTTTTAGAATTCCATGTTGTACAAGCCCTTTGTTTCTATTTAGAAAGGACTAAAATGCAGAAAAGCTTTTTAAGTTCAAAACTTCTTAAATTATTTGTATTCTCGATTGTTGCTACTGCATAACACTCCTTAAGAGTACTTGATATTTTCTGTGTAATTTAGGCTTGTGCCAGGCCCAGTTTTCCCTCCTTTATTAATGGAGCAAGGGTTGCGAGAATCACTGGTATAAAAAACTGTCCTAAGTAACGTGGTACTTTGCCACAGTTTTAAGTGTAAAATGTGGGATCAAAGCGGTAGTGGAGGAAGTTGCTATGGCTAATTTTTCCATCTTTCCCTGGATGGAGGGGTTGGATAATGTGTCAAGAGCCCCAAAATTGTAGAAGTGAGATTAAAAATATAAATGATAGGTTGCCCTTTGGGAAATGGGTGGACCTTTTTTGTTACATTAAATTGAGCAATGTAGTTTTCTTGAAGCTATGCCCAATGTTCTCCAAAGTTAGCACAAACTATGCCTGCTGCTTTAGAATTGTATGTTAAAAATCCTTAACCTGTGGGTTATAAATAGCCTAACAGATTTGTTTACGTTTCATTCTGTCTCATAACACATAATCTGTTTTATACTTTGCTGTGGACTTTTGACCTTTTAATGCATTTTTAAATTTTGGTGATAGAATTGTTCAGCTTAAAAGAAGGAGGAATATTTTTATGTTTGATTCTTGTATGGACTAGTTCATTCCTTGCTAGCCTTCACTTTTCTAGAATCAAAGTCTGTGTGTTTTTAGAGTTGGTTGTCTCTGAATTCTCTGAATACAGTTTGAAGGGACAGTAGCTAAGTAGGGGCTGCAGAGTCCAAATGGCTCACTGCTTCTGGCAAAATGATTTGAAGCTCTGTGTCAAAAAACGTCTGACCACAAACTCTCTTTAAAACCTCTCACTTTGTCAGGGCGTGGTGGCTCATGCTTGTAATTCCAGCACTTTGGAAGGGACCAAGGTGGGTGGACTGCTTGAGTCCAGGAGTTTGAGACCAGCCTAGGTAACATGGTGAAACCTCATCTGTACAAAAACAAAAATAAGCCAGGCCTGGTGGTGCATGCCTGTGATCTCAGCTACTTGGAGGCTGAGGCAGGAGGATAGTTGAGCTCTGTATGCAGAGGTTGTAGGGAGCCAAGATTGTGCCATTGCATTCCAGTCTGGGCGACAGTGAGACCCTGTCTCAAAACAAACAAACAAAAAAAAAACCTTCTCACTGTTCCACTCTTATGGAATTTGGTGTTTTTTTCCTCTCTCTCTCACTTTCTCTTTATCTACATTCTTTGTCTCTCTGTTCATCCAACCCATTACCCTAGTAGTGATTTCATTTGCCTCCCTGTGTAACCAGGATCCCATGATCATCAGCTTTTACTAAGCTCACATTGATGGTCTAGAATGTTTCACTTTCTATAGACTTACTTTTCCAGTCCCCAGTCCTAAGTCTCATTAGCTTTATCAGTTTGACTCCTGAAATTCTGAGGGACATCAGAGACAACTATGAAAGGATATGTAAGGATATTGGTCAGTTTTTATGCCAGTTGGTGTTCTGCTGGCTCTCGAGTGTTCTGTTCCTTTTATCCCTCATTTCCTAAAGGTTTGTTTTGTTTCGTTTCGTTTTGTTTTTGTTTTTGTTTTTCGAGATGAAGTTTCGCTCTTGTTACCCAGGCTGGAGTGCAATGGTGCGATCTCGGCTCACCGCAACCTCCGCCTCCTGGGTGCAGGCAATTCTCCTGCCTCAGCCTCCTGAGTAGCTGGGATTACAGGCACGCGCCACCATGCACAGCTAATTTTTTGTATTTTTAGTAGAGACGGGGTTTTACCATGTTGACCAGGATGGTCTTGATCTCCTGACCTTGTGATCCACCTGCCTCGGCCTCCCAAAGTGCTGAGATTACAGGCGTGAGCCACCGCGTCCGGCTCCTAAAGGTTTTTATAGCAAATAACTTGATCTCTTCCTTTACTGAGAAAAATCTCAACCCTATCAGGTATACTTCTATTTCACTTTTTTCATCCCATTGTCACCTCTTTATTTACTTATATCTCAGAGGAAGAAATGACCTTCCTTCTTTTCAAAAGCAACCCCTCCTTCCAGATATGTCCATGATTATCTTTTCCCATCTTTCTTTCCCTAGAAACTGTTTGTTTTCACTTCCTGTCCACCTTCTTCAGCCTCTGCCTCTCTAGCTTACATAGATGTTTGTATTTTCTGCTAACCTGCCATATAAGTGTGTGTGCTGTTCAACTCTAGGAGAATCTTCTAATGTTTGAGTCCACTATGCCACTGTATTTCTGTTCTTTTCTTTAAAGACTCATTCTTTCATCCCAGGAAACTGTTATAATAGGAAGAACATTGACTTTTGAGCAAGATAGAACTTCTGATCTTGGTTTTGAAGTCTTTAAAAACCACTTTAGTAGCTGTGTGGCTGTGGGTATGTTACTATTCAGATTTCATTTTGTATCTACAAAGTATGTTATACTTAGCTCACAGAGTGGTATTTGGAGAAATTAACACATGTTAAATATCCATCCAAGTATCTGGTACATTGTAGAGTTCTTACTAAACGCTTCTATCCTTTGTACTCAGACTGCCTTTACCATTTCACCACAGAAACTGCTGTTTTAAAAGTTATCTGTGACCTCCTAATCACCAAATCCAATGGTGTTTCCTCTGTCATCCTTGGTTTCCTTAGACCCAGGGGTCCCCAACCCCCAGGCTGCAGACAGTATTGGTCCTTGGCTTGTTTGGTGTTAGGAACTGGGTGGCACAGTAGGAGGTGAGCAGCAGGGAAGCAAGCATTACTGCCTGATCTCCAACGCCTGGCAGATCAGTAGATCAGTAGATCAGTGGTGGCATTGAATTCTCATAGGAGCACCAACCTTGTTGTGAGCTGCACATGCAAGGGATCTGGGTTGCATATTTCTTATGAGACTCTGACTAATGCCTGGTGATCTGAGGTGGAACAGTTTCATCCTGAAACCATCCCTCACCCAACTCCTGTGGCATGGAAAAATTGTCTTCCACAAAACTGGTCCCTGGTGCCAAAAAGGTTGGGGACTGCTGCCCTAGACCAGTTGTGAAATATATTCTCTTCTGTAGTCATAAAATGATCTAATTTCTTGACTTTTCTGCATTATACTTCCCAATTCTCTATTTCTCAGGGAGTTTCTTCACATTTTCCTTATATCAGTTAGGCTGCAAATGGAATTTAAAAATGAAAGGTAAGCTGGGCCATGGTGTCTCACACCTGTAATCCCAGCAGTTTTGGGAGACCGATGTGGAAAGATTGCTTGAGGACCGGTGTTCAAGGCTACAGTGAGCTATGATTGGGCCACTGCACTTCAGTGTGGGTGACAGAGCTAGACCCATCTCAAATAACAAAAAACAAACAAACAAAAAACCCAAAGAGATGTTTTGGTTCATGTAATTGTTCAGAACTGGCTTGAAGAGTGCTTTGTTGGCTGGGTATGGTGGCTCAGAGCGCCTGTAATCCCAGCACTTTGAGAGGCCGAGGCAGGTAGATCAGAAGGTCAAGAGACTGAGACCAACATGGTGAAACCACATCTCTACTAAAAATACAAAAATTGGCTGGGCATGGTGGCATGTGTCTGTAGTCCCAGCTACTATGGAGGCTGAGGCAGGAAAATCACTTGAACCCGGGACGCAGCGGTTGCAGTGAGCTGAGGTCATACCACTGTATTCCAGCCTGGTGACAGAGTGAGACTGTCTTAAAAAAAAAAAAAAAGAGTTCTTTGTCATGTCATCAGGGCTGTTCTCTCAACATTGCCATCCTATTTGGGCTTTAGGCTTCCCTTCTAATAAAAATAATTGCCACCAGTGATGTTTGTATTATAGCCCCTGCATTTATTTCCGAAGGGAGAGAAAAGGTCTCTTCTCCTAGCCTTTTCCCAAGAATCCTGAGCTCTAGTTTGATTAAACAAACATAGATCAAGCTGCCAAACCTGTAATAGTATCTTTGTCCAGAGGGATGGAATTATCCTAAGTGGTCTCCTGGCCAGTGGAGTGAATCTTATCTGAAAATAAGGACTGCAAACAATACAGGGAAGAAGGAATGGATCCTGGGGAAGTAACCAGTGTCATCAAGGTTCCATATGCTTTTCACTATGTTCTCTTGGTGATCATATCCTTTATGATCCAAACCATCATTTCTGTGTGGCTGTTTC